AGACCAATATAAGAACGGAAAGGAGGGAGAAAAGAGAAAGAAAGAGAAGAACGGAAAGAGAAAGAGAGAGCGGAGAAGGAACGAACTGTATGAATAGAGAGATTAAGACTTGAAGCAGAGACAAAGTCTCAAAATAACGACAGATCCGGACGAAACGGACTGCGTCACCTTATGCAGAAATTCGATGACAAGAAAGGAGATATCAGTCTTATTTGCTATTGTTTGAAAGGCAAGCAGAATGGGCTAAAATTGATAAAGAAGATTTGTATCCATTTACTAGGACTACTTCTTTACGAAGTAACCCAGTTAATAGCTAGAGAACCCTCGATAAGCTAAAGACTATGAACAACGTGAAAAATTTATTGTTAAGACGGTTTTTAAACTAAGCCCGGGAAAAGTTTAGCAGAAAATTATGAACATCAAAAGAGTACCGAATCCACAGGGTGGATTCAATTATGAAATAGAAAATTATTGCAAGGAAGGGGTGACTGGTCTAGGAGTTAAGACTTTTGATCAGTTGCTAGATTGATGGTGCTTGACCAACTTAAACGTCGAGTTCCTCCTGAAATTAGATCATTTCTTGATGAATGGGTAGAGATGATTTCATCTAAAGAATTAGCTGAAACACTTGATGCCTATGAAAACGTTTGCGGAAACTTTCAAAAAAGGCCTGTAGTGGATCGGCAGAAAGAAGATACAATGCACTACTCAGGTAAATGAGTTCAGATAATAAAAATAAAACTGAAAAAAAATTGTCATCAGGATTTAATTCGCAAAGCTGGTTTCATAGACCTAGAAGTCCACGTCCAGATGATAAATATGAAAAACGAAAATGCCACAATGCTATCAGTGTGGGTCCTACCACATTACCCCAATGTCCAAAACTTAAAAACATACTGGAATCTCCCGCTAATCTTAACAGAATTAGTGCAAAATCAGAGGATAAATTTCTATTACCTTATACTAGATGGGTTACGTAAATGGTCATAAAATTCCTATATTAAGGGATTCAGGTGGTATATTGATATAGTTTGTCGCAAATACATCACGCCGGAAATGCTGAAGGTGAAAATGTGTGGGTGCAACAGCCATTAGATTTTATCCAACCTGTTTACCATGGTGAGATCGAACTAAATTGCGATCTTGGGAAGTAATAACTAAGGCTGCCATTATTAGAAATGAACTTGACAAAGGAAGGTATTTATTAGCAATCGAACTTTTGCACTGTTGATAAACAAGGAAAGGAACTGATAGTTGCTCACCAGGTTAATGCTGTCTCTACTAGAGCTCAAAAGAAAAGAGAAATGCCGAAGAGAAGATCTTGGACGATGAATGAGAGAAGAAAATAAAGCATCCAGAGAGTTTTGAAGAAGATAATTTACGGATAAAATTCGGAAGATGAAACTCTCATGAAACTGGTAAACATTGACTCAGAGAAATTGCACAACTTCAGCTTGCTGATAAGGAACTGTCTAAAATCATCCAAGAAGTAAAGAAGATACATGCAAAAATGAGAACATAGTCTGACAGGAAAGAACTTTTAGTTAAAAAAGACGGATAAATGGGCTTTGAAGACAGCTTGTCATTATACCTGAAAACTCAAGCCGCAATTATAAAGATGTGCCACGAGGAACTTCTGGTCATTTGGTGTCAAAAAGACCAAAAGACAGACCTTGCTAGATATTTTTACTGGACGAGATGTTACAAAGAAACTGAAGATGTAAGAACCTGTGATGCTTGTCAGCGCGCGCTGGAAAAGGAAAGGACAAAAGAAGGCTCCAATGACATTAGTACCAGTAATTTCCGAAATATTCACTAAAATAATGCGATGCCGTTGGTCCGCTACCTATTTCAAAGACTGGAAAAAATATATTATTACAGCACTGTGTATGTCGTCCAAATATCCAGATGCTGTTGCGGTGACAGACATTTCTTCGCCATCTGTTATTGATGCTTTCTTACAGATTTTTAGTCGTATGGATTTCCCAAAAGTGATCCAAACAGATCAGGAGGTCTCTTTTGTCAGTGCTGACAGTAGAATTTTTGGAGCGTTTCGGCATTAAACATGTTAGATGCTCTGTGTATCATCCGCAGTCCATAGAACGCTAAAAAGTGTGTTAAGAGTCGTATGTATAGGAGCGACTTCAGATTGGGAGAACTATCTACCATCAGTTATTTTTGCTCGCAGAACTGTCACACACGAAAGCACTGGTTTTACACCAGTAGAGCTAGTTCATGGAAAAACCTACGAACACCACTCACTTTACTTTATGACCAGTGGCTAGAACCGACTGAAGAAAGTAGTAATGGTGTCAGTTACGTTTTCAAACTTATTAATCGAAGGAAGAAATGCCAAGAACTTGCCGTGAAAACCATGAAAGAAGCTCAACAACGGAGAAAAACGTAATACGATCGAAACGCAGTGAAAAGAGAATTTGCTAAAGGAGATTTAGTTCTTGTTTTATCTGCGAATCATCAAAATAAACTAGACGTACAATGGGAAAGGACCTGGAAAAATAGAGCAGAAAATTTCAGAAACCAATTATATTGTAAGTTTCGAGGAACAAAATGAGCCAATCAATATATCACATTAACATGCTTAAACCATATTACAAAAGACCAGAATGATTAATATGATAACTGAAGTGGAAGGAAACTTAGAAATGGACATACCTTATTTACTTTCTAATCCAAGTATATTAAATTTTTCGGACATCATAGAGGGAGAATGAAATCAAGAAAAGGTTGATACCTGAGCAAATAGAAGATTTACAAATGGTTTTATGGAAATATTTTGGTTGTTTTTCAAATAATCCTAGCCTAACAAACTTAGTTTGTCAAGATATTGAGCTATTAAATAACAAACCAATATAAATAAAGCCAGACAGACTGTCACTCCAACAGACTGAAATTCTCAAAAAGGAAATTACAGAAAATGCTCAATCTCAAAATTATAGAGTTGGGAGAATCGGACTATACATCTCCCATGATTTTGATAGAATCTTCATCAAAGGATCCTCGTATTGATTATCGTAAACTCAATGCTCTTACTAAAACTGAATACTATCCTTTGCCTAATATTGAAGAACATATTGAAACTGTAGCAAAAGCAAAATATATTACTATTAGATTAGATTAGATTTATCTAGAGGCTATTGGCAAATTTCCGTTAACAGAAAGAACCCAAAGATATGCAAGCATTTGTAACTAGTTTTGGAAGTTTCAGGCCCTCTACGTTTACCCTTTGGATTAAAAATTGCCCCCATATTTTTTTTAGCAAAGTTATGACTAAAGTCCTGGCTGGATGCGAAGGTATTCGTTGTACCATACCTGGATGACATTGCCATTTACTCAGAAAACTGGAAAGAGCATCTTAAAAACTTAACTTCTGTTCTAGACAAGAATACAGAAAGCAAACTTACAACAAAAACCATCCAAATGTAAATTTGCACAAGATCAAAGTGAGATACCTAGACCATGTTGTGGGAACAAGGACAATGACCCCCGGATGAAGTAAAGATCCTGGCTGTAAAGGAAGTATCCTACACCTAAGACCAAAACAGAAGTGTGTGCTTTTCTTAGGACTAGTAGGGTATTATTGCCAGTACATACCAAGATTTTTCGGAAATTGCTTCACCCCTCACGGACGCTTTGAAGAGGGTAACAAAAAAAAAAAGGGAAATATACAATGGTCTGAAATATGTGACAAAGCTTTTAAAAATTTAAAGAGTTGCTATGCAAGAAACCAATTCTGTATGCTCCAGACTTGATTAAAGGTTTATATACACACGGCCTCAGACAATGGCATGGGTATAGTACTATGCCAATTAGATGATGAACAACGTGAACATCCTATCTTGTATATAAGCAAAAATTTACTAAGTTTGAAAAAATTATCGTACTATGAAAAGGAGTGCGCTGCTATAATCTACACTATCAAGAAACTGCATTTTTATCTGGATGTCAACAAGAATTCTTGATTCAAACTGATCATAATCCTTTGGTCTGGCTACAATCCAACGCCAAATGTAACTCTAGATTGATGCGCTGGGCACTTTCATTACAACCTTATAATTTTAAGGTCATTCATCGCAAAGATCTTTGCACAAGAACGTAGATGGTTGAGTAGAATTAAGTAATGTATAACTCTTAGGTATGTAACCACGTTCAGGATTTTATATTATTTAATGTATACTCAACTGATGTATTTGAACGTTCTCCATTTTTTTTCTTTCTATTTAAATGTGGTGTAAAAATATTTGTTAAAAACTTAAAAATTTGGCCTGAAGTTTGGAAATTTATCAGAGAAGTTACCTTTACTCTTTAAGCAAATGAGCAAGTCGAGCTTATTAAACTGTCAAATTTTACAGAACTTTTCCCTTCGGAAAAAGTCTCTCCGTTGGGGGAGAGATGGTTGTAACAGCTTAAATATCGTTATTAATCTCTCGTGCATTTGAAATAGATGAATAATAAATAATGTACAGATTACTGGCAATATTGAAATGCAGGCTCGAGAGCTGCATGCATTTTTTCGCACGAAGCATGTAATTATTTTTTTTTTAAATAAGTTTTTAGAATATGTTTTATCTTCTTGTTTGTAAGTCGCCATTTTTTTTAGTGTTAAATAAAAGTTATTGCTGTGTTCCATCATTGGAGTTGCTTCATTTCGCCAAAGAAGTATCACAGTTGTAAAGATAAACACTATTTTAGTGATCTAGTTTTGTTATCTATTATAACAGTGACCTGATCTACTGGGACCTTTAATCAAGGCTTAATAATTAAATAACAAAGTGTACAATAATAATATATAACATAAAATATCTAAAAATTAGAAATGGGCAAAAAGGTTTGTTCATTATACCCAAGGATAGAGTTCTTCAAGCAGCTATATCCATTGTACATTAAATTTGGAAATTCATCAAATAGCCCATTTCTTACGTAAACAATTGTCAAACTAAGTTGAGGTAATTGCACTACTTAAGTGTCATAGCAATGCTTACCTTTATATCCTTCAGTATATTCCAAGCTACTAAAAACTGTTGAATACAGAACTCAATCAGATGATTATGCAGAACTCTACACATTGTTAATGGCTGTGAAATAATATGATGGGCACTTCACATTTGACAATTTCTTCCAGGAAACTGTGAACATATCGAGTAATTAGGAATTGGTGGTATGTTACAGCTAAATAACCACTGTAACATTTCATGAAGTGGAAGCCAAATTTTTAGCATAGCATCCAGTAACCTATCAGGAGACAAAAAAACATAAATAACTTGTGTATTATAAATAATAAGAAAATAAATTTTAACATATCACAATGACATAAGTTATATAATGGGCACAGCACTGAAACTTATTTGCAAATCATTCTGATACTTTAATGAAATATATGTGATACAAAAAAAAAGAAATACAGTTAAATACTTTGCATGCATGAAAATCTTATTAAGTAAAAAATGCAACAGTATATTTTGCAATGTTTTATTTGGTACAAATAAAAAAAAATTACTGCATTTAGTTTTCAATAGTAAGCCCCCAATTTTCTAACAAATCCGAAAAAGCAAATGCATGAAATTTGGACGGTATGAACTGCGTGGAAGAATTAAAAAGCAGACAACAAATTTAACTTAAAATAATAAATAACATTAAATAAAGATTCAAGTAAGGCAGATTAATTATTTTAAGGTTTTACTTTACAACATAAAATTTTGTGCAACAATAAGCAGTAAATTTAACAAAATAAATCAACTTATGAAATGAATCACAAACTTTACTGCACACAATGTTTCAAGTAAAAATATTGTTAAACATTAATAATAATGCCTAAAACATAATAATATGTTATGCAAAATTTAATGCTAAAGAATGCACTTCCACCAGATAAGCTAAGCACAACGAATGCAGATAGGACAAAATTTAGCCGCACATTCATATGGCAGGAGGCCAAGGAAAACGTTTTTCTCTTTATCCTTGTTAGATTAGCTGAGTGGTTAGACATTTTTTTTTTTTTTTCTCTTTGCCTTTTCTAATATATGATAGCTAAAAATTATATTGCTAATTAGTACTTAACAGTACAGAACCAAATTTTAATTTTTTTGCCAATTGTATTTCAATTTTGTTTTAATTTCCAGAAGTAACATTTAGTTTTCACTTAATAATTTATGTTTTTAGTTTCACTAAACATGAATTTCACATATTTAACAAATTCTGAATTCCTTTTTATCACCTCTGACAGCCTTCAATCTTCATAAAAAAATATTTACTACATAAGAAGACATTTTTGTGATTTATTCAGGATTGAAAATAATAATAATAATAATAATCAATAAATAAATAAACAAAGAAAACAAAACACTTTCAAAGCTGCCCAAGACAATATGATGATTAGCACATGTTGAGTGATTGCACTAGTCTGGAAAGTATTAATTGGAACAGGGGTACTTTCAGTCTGAAAAGCCTCTTGAGAAGTTTGCAATAACAAAAGTAGGCTCTAAGATCATCAAATTCCATTCTATTACATGCTTTCCATCAGAATAAAGATGGAGCTTCAGAAGATAGCCTTTGTGTTCCTTATACAAATTAATAACCAATCTGAGCAGTGCTGTGTTCAACAAGGCCTAATTATTCATAAGACCTTACAGTATGACTAATGCATATGAACTTGATAAGTAACAACAATAAAAAAGCTTAACACACTAAAAATGCAATAACCATGCTTTAGCCATGAAAGAAGTAAAACCATAAACTAAAAAAGTAAATAGCAATTCTGATTATAAGAAATTTAATTATTTAATTTTCTAATGAAGACAAATAAAAAATAGAACTTGTTGCTACTATTATAATTCAGAACAGACAGTAAATGAAATTTATCGCAAAAGGTAAACACGCGCTTCATGAGAATTTTAATCTTGCAGTTGTAGTTATTTTTCTCCATTCATTTTTCCTTTCCATTCAAGCACAGGAAGTTATCTCAAAGCTAAACCATGCCAAAAAAAAAAGTTTAAAATCTTGTCATCACAAAGAGATATATGCTTTACAAAGCAACTAATGGCAATAAGAGTTTTGTTTTAATGTAGAGATTAAAAAATTTTGTTTGTCTAACAGTTTACAGACTTTAGAATAAATTGAGATTTCATGAACATTACATTGAGCCCTAACTGATACTCTTCTGTTATCAATTCCAGATTCAGAAATACACGTATGTATGTTGACATCAAAACAAAAAGCAGCCATATGCAAGTCTTGAAAAATTTTAAATAACTCTTAAAGTATGTACTTTTTCCCCTAATTTCAGAATTAATTTATTTTCTACAATATTTAAAAGGCTGAACTATTGTTTATAATCTTGTAGCAAAGTACATCTTTCTGTACACTCCCTTTACTTTGTTTACATATCAACATCAGTCACCTTTTCAGTTACTGATTAAAATTTTGTACATTATATGCTGATCAAAATATAGCTTCCTTATTCTATTGATAATCAGCAGAACTAAGTAAGCAGTTTTGATTTCTTGTATAGACTGATTCAAATTGCAACTAATATTAATTCACCATGCTTGGGGGGAAAGTGGGATCAAAGAAATTTATCCCAATTATGGTAAAACTTTATTATTAATTTTTAAAAACTGACAAAATTCTTATATTTTTAGCGAGTAATTTTGGAAAGTCAACACTTTCTGCGAAGGGTACCACTTACAAATGCATGAACGTATTCACCTCATATACATACCACTGTTCTCTTGTTTGTTTACTTCTTACCTGTAAATGTTTAAACCCCTTTTGCTCCTACGGATATTTTTTCAATCAAGTTTCCTTATTCAAACGTACAAAATGTACGAGTAACGACCAATTATGATTAGTTTCTATATGCCGATACTTACCTATATTAAATAAACTTATAAGAATAAAAAAGCAGGGAAAAAATAAATATCTATTAGGCCTAACATATTACCGCCAGGTTTATTTATAATCCTTGTATACAATCACTATTCTCTCCATTCTTACTTACCATCTCTCTATCACAGAATTCCGGAAATCTGAAAAAGAAAAGGGAAAAAGAATTATTATAAATTTACTATGGCGCGATTACAAAATGATTTAAACGTCAAGATAAATATTCGTATCAGACGTACTTCTGGATGCTATTTTATTAATAAAGTAGTCGCAGAATGTTGTCTAAGCAGGGTTAGAATGGATAAATAATAATAAAATATTTAAAATTATGCACCCTTTTTGATTAGAGGTTCAAAATTTATATCAAGTGCCTAAGAAATATTTATTCCTTGCAGCCCGTGAGGGTAAAGTATGCTTAAGTGAGTTGTATTTGTTATTTATGAAAGGTGTTCAAATCTAACAATAGAAAAAAAAACTTTGGTTAAAATTCTAAATGCCTAAGTACGTTTAAGAAAAGATATTTATGAATTTTGGGGCACCGTTGCCTAACTTTGCTCCAGCTCGCTGGCGTTTCCCATGATTCTTGAGAAGAAGCGATCGAGTGGAGCTTAGTTGTTTACTAATAAACTTCAGCTTTCGGGTACAGTTTGTTAATTAAAAAATAATAATTATAAATTTGGATTTAAAAAAATATAGCTTTTCATGAAAGTTTTATTTTTAAAATATAGTTTTGAGTTATTTTTAAAAAGGCATTACATTAATCCTTGTTATAATTTATGTTCACTGTTAAAGAGATACCCCCCAACCTCTTTTCGAATTTATTAGGTCATTGAGCCTTATATCTTTTTTTTTTTTTTTTCATCAAACACGTAGCTGTTTAAGATATCACTGCTGTTGCAAAATTGAATAAATGGCATGGTCAATGTGACTTATTAATTCGTTAAGAAGGCAATTAAAGAATTGTTGAAAATATATTTTATTATTTGTTGATCCAAGTGGAATATTTTCAGAATGTAATCTTAATTTGAAAAATGTAATTATTTAATAAACCATACTTAAAGCAATTCAGGGTGTAGGGAAAAAAGTACCATATAATAAATAAACTTTGTGCTTTTCATAAAAATTGTATACATCATTGGAAACTCTAGAAGTCACAGAAAACAATGTGTATCATCTAGTAGGGAAAAATACGGAATATACTTTAAAATTTCTTTTATTCTTAGAGCAAAACTGGGGTGAACATTTCTGTATTTATTAAAATTTGTGTAGGAATAAAGAATTAGCATAGTTGTTCTGAAGAGATCAAATCATATTTTGAGTAGGAAAAATTTCATTCTTTCTGTAGGATCAAGAATGTTCAAATTATTAACACTTTGAAAAAGTTGATCACAAAAGTAATGATTAAAAGCAATAAATACAAATATGAAAGGATACCATTCCTGCTATAAATTACTGCAATTGGAAATAGAATTTTGTTTCAGGAAATGGCTTGTGCAATAACTACAAAAATAAAATGAAAACATTACTGATATGTGTTATTACAGTAAAGTTTTCGTTCAGGCAATTGCTTGTGTGTTTTTAAGTTGCTCTTTATAATTTCTACTAATGAGCATTATATTTATTGATTTTCTATAAAGAATGAATATAAGAGGTACGAAATTCAGCTAAAGTGCAGAATTGCCCACGTATTTGTTTGGCGCTTTTTACAAGAGTAAGAAGAATTGGATTTTTGTCAATTTTCTTTGATTTTTTAAGTGAAAATAGGTCGATGTGTAAATGGATACCGAGTATGTGCAATTCTTAAAAACATACCAAGCAGTAGGCGATTCTGCACTTTCTCCCAAAATGCCAAACGCAAAAACTCCTTTCAAGCTTAAACAGATCATGAGTTGATAATACTTAAAAATATTATCTTCATGTATATTTTGCTATATTTTGCTGCAGTTCATTGAATATGTTTTTTAGTTCCCATAAATGAAAATTAATTTATATTCATAGATCACTATATTCAAGTCAGAGGGAAAAAAAATCATTTATTCAAAGTTTGCCTTAGATCCATCTTAGTTGGCTTAGATAGATCCATTATAGAAGAATTATGCATTTCTAAGTAGACATGAGGGTCCAATGGCCTATGTAGGGAAAAAAATGAAGTTACTCTTCCTTAGAAGAAAAATAGTATTTTAAGCTAATATAGACATTTCAAATAAGATGGTTAGGTTTGGTTCAATTGGTTATGTCAAAACATGCAAACACTCTCTTCCTAAAATAAGGGATGCATTTGTGCAGGACTTTTTAAGAGAAACTGTCTTTATCCATGTTGCACAATGGAAAAAATCATGAAAATTCCCATGCAGCAGCTCATTCACATGGAATCGAAACCATTCAAACAAAGATGGTGGTGGTGGGGGGAAAATTTGTGTTGAATACAGTTAAAAGGAAAACAGTTGTGCAACTGAAATATGTTCTTCCAAAATTGTGTTGCAAGAATTAATTTTTCATGTCTGAAGTCATGCGTCCTATTTTATGAGAATCATTATATTTTCAAATAATATTTTAGAGCAGAGTTTTTTAAACTATGGTTTACAAATCGAAATTTTGGGGTCACGAAAATTCAATTCGATAGATGAATTTAAAGAAACTTCATTCATAAGACTTTTAAAGAAATTACATTAATGAGATTAGACTCATTAATTAATATAAATGATATTAATTACTTGTTATGAAAAATGCAAAAGAAATTTGTAATGCTATCTAGTGATTCAAACTTAAAACTTGAGTTTTCACAAAAATCTTTGATGAATTCAGTATCGGAGCCAGAACTAGATTTCTCACTATTTCCGAAATGGCATAAAATATTCGGTACTTACGTATTATCGCAACCAGGTTGGCGCGATTTGTAAGTTTGAGTAAAAAAGTATGAATAGAAAGAAAATGTACATTTATTAATTACAGATAATTTGAATACAGTTTTTTATATATTTTGTTTAAAATATAAAATAGCAATTAAACCCTTCCGGTTTCGAATTTGAATAAGTTGCAGAATTATTTTTTCGGCGGAAATCTTTTGGCTATTGCTTTTAGCACTGATTGAAAACCGTATTCGCCATAACCATGTACACGTCGACTTATTTTTACTTAAAGAAACATCACAGAATTGCACAAAAATGGCATTGTGCACACTCTTGACTTTATCCATCTACACTGCTATTTTCTCATAAATTACAAAAATTTGCACGAAAATGCAGGAAAATTTTGTAAATCTCCACATCCTCTTCTTACAAAACTACGTATAACACGTAGGGTTGCTGTAAGTAGGGTCGCCAAATTTGGCAATTTATGCGAATTTTGGCCTGGTTGCGTTAATATGTAAGTACCAAATATTCTCTCACCACATATTTATATATAACTACTTTTCCAGCTTTAATTAAAACCAAATGTCGTTCAACGCTGAAACATGCTGAAGATGCTTTATATCCAGCTGTGGCAAATATTGCACCAGCATTTAATTTGTTATGCAGCAGAAAACAAGCAAATCTGTCTCAATGAAATTTTCTTTAATTAATTTTTGTTCTAAATTCTAAGACTAATTCCTTTTTATGTTTATTGTTTACCAAAGAAGTAAATTATTTACAGGAAGATATTTCTTTTTATATCTTTATTTTATAATTAATATCTGGGGTTGCAAAAAAAAAAAAAAATATCTTGATGATAAAAAGTGTTTGTGATTGAAAAATGTTTAAGAAGCCCTGGTTTAGAGTAAATACTCATTACGGGTAGATTTAAAAAAAAAAAAATTGATGAAGAAGTATGTCTCTATATTTATTTTACAGAGAATACAGAAATTTAAATTTATTCAATAACAGTTATGTCATCTTCTTCTGGAATATCGTCATAAATAACATTCTGAATTATATTCTGATTTTCTTCCAAATCCATTTCCTGTTGAATCATTGTTCTGAATCTCTCATGTCTTGCGATATAGCTATCGTTGAATGAATACTTCTTGTTTAAGTAACCTGTTCGTAGTGCATTGGAAACATCACTATCAGTTATTTTGTTCCATGAATTTTTTACCCATCAACCACCCCTTTTGATTTTCTACTCATTCTGTGGGGGTTGGAAAAAGGTCGCTGCGTCGTATGTGTCTCGGGGTTACGGTTCAGCCCAAATTTCACCCCGACGAGAGTCTGCCGACGCTAACGGATGATGATGCCTTTCCTGTGAACATATCTCTCTTGGGGCAAACGGTGAACTGGTTAAGATAAATTCCAAGAATTAATTTGAAATGAACTGTAGAGGTAAACAATTAATTTCTCGGAATATTTTGTTTCAAACATTTCTCTGAAATACAAGTATTAGAAAAGCTAAACATATTATTACTTAATAAATCAACAGCATTTTTTAATGAATCCTTTTTGTCACATTATTTTAACTAGGGATTATTTTTGGGGGATGTCTTATTTTACAAAATGTTCCGAAAATCACGATAGGGCTTATTTTCGGGGGATGTCTTATTTTACAAAAAGTTCTGAAAATCACGATAGGGCTTATTTTCGGAGGATGTCCTTTTTTCAGAAAAAGACGGTAGGAATATTTTACTGTGAATTACTGAGACAAATTTACTAACATTCTTTTAGTAGTATTTATATCCCAAATATTTTTAGGTAAGAATATAGAAATGAGTATGAACTTGAAGAGCCAGACTTCTTCTTAGATTTATTTAGATTATCATATATTTAATTAGTTTAATTAAGTTTCCATATCAGGGAGACTCAATTATTCAAAAATATTTCTGTTCCTTATCAGCTATCATTCAGTACTGTAAAAAGAGAGAAATACATTTTACTAAATCAGAATAGCCAATATATGACTCTTGGTCTGAATAAATAAACTCAGTTTTCATTTAGTATCCCATTGATGCACTTAAAACCAAGGAATTTTGTCATCTTCAGTAACATATAAAGCTAAAGTTTCTTTAATTCAAATTGAAACATGATATGTAAGATGAGCTATTTCATCATACTATATTGTGTAATGTATTCAACCCGAATTTGATCTCGGGCAAATGGACTGACTGCATGGTTGTTTTACCCATGTGTAATATGAATATGGAGTCAGTTTCCATCAGAAAGCTGTTCAAAGCATCTTGGTAAAAGTTTATTAACCCTTGGTAAAAGTTTACAATTGGGTGCCCCTTGTTTATTGGCGATTCTTTCTTGACGCCGAGATTGGCGCCAGGAAGTCACAATTTCAAGATGGCCGCTACACAAAACCAAAATAAGAAGTCGAAGAATTGCATAAGATTTGTGTCCCTGTACACAACGATCTGATTTTACTTAAAAAAACATCCTAGAATTGCACAAACTAGGCATTGCGCACTGTCTTAAATATGTCCATGTACACATCAATCTATTTTCATTTAAATAAAATCGTGAAGCTAAAACAAATTTAAAACTATCGTGGTAACCAAAAGTGAGGTTTCATCGCCAAAATTTTTTTAAAAATGTCGCCAATTGAAGGGGCACCCAATTCTACACTAAAGCCCTTCCCTTCCCTTTAGTGTTTTGTTCAAATAGAATGGTACTATTCCGTTTCGAGGACCGCAAAAAAATTGCAGCGAAAATATATTTGCAAAAACGCCAAATCTAGCAAATACGCCCATTTAACAGCGTGCCAAATCTAGCGTACGCGCTGATTTCAGATTGTGTAAATTTATATAGTTGTATATTTCTTAAGACACCATTGAAATACTAGTTTAATTTTTAAATCCTTTTTTGATTTTAAATTCTTTTTTGATATCCTATGGATTTAACAATTTGGGAACTGCCCATGACAAAAAGTGTGCAACAGAATTTTGGGTAAAGTGCAGAATCACGCGTTTTTAAGAATTGCACATACTCGGTATCCATGTGCACATCAACCTATTTTCACTTAAAAAAAAATATCCCAGAATTGTACAAAAATGGCACTGTGCACACCCTTGACTTTATTTATGTGCACATCAACCTATTTTCACTTAAAAAGTAAAAGAAAATTGACAAAAATCCAGTTGTTTTTACCCTTGTAAAAAGCTGGAAACAAAATAAGTTGGCGATTCTGCACTTTACCGAGAATTTTTTCAAAGAAAAGGCATCATTCATTATAGAAAATTATGTTTGAACAACCAACGAGATGAAACTATGCTTTAGCGGTAAGTCGGTAGCGATGCAGGCATCCATTCAGTTATGTTTAGCAATTTTTATCTAAGTTATAATAATGACTGAAATAGTTATTTGCTCTTATACTTCCATTCAGTCATGTTTAGCCTTTTTTATGTAA